GTGTGTGTGTGTGTGTGTGTGTGTCTTGTCTTATAGGTGGTGAACAGGTGGAACTCTTTGAATGGCCCGTTGGAGCCAGCAGTCAGGACCAGTGAGGACCAGCACCTACAGATGACACCATCCTGCTGCACAGAGGTGGAGGTTTGAAATAGTTGTTGGAGATTTGTGAATCTGCACCATCGTAAGTCACTTTTTGTAATAGTATAAACAAGAGAGATTTTTATTGTGTGCTTTGACTTTGAAAAAAGGGCGGCACACTTGTGGTAGCCATGTTGAACCTGATTGATACGTAGTTTTATCTTTTGCTTTTCCTCCCCTGTATGGAGAAAAGAGAGTTCTTTGAATAAATGAAGACGAGTTCCCATGCTCCAAAGTTATTTGACTCTGTGGTTCTCACTGGGCATGTTTTCAGCCCTCATAGCTCACACGTTACAGTGAGTACTAATTGAAGGAGATAAAAAATGGTACTTTTTGTTCGAGCTTCACTTTTCTGTTTCTCTGTCAGGAGTTAAGTAAGGGTTTTATCTTTTCTTTTATTTTTTGTAGGTAAATATTTGGTTAAGTAGATAGTTTTGTTTGACAATACTTTAAATTAAATAAAACTAGCAACACATTATGTTCCTGAAATTTGGTATGCTTGTCTTTAAAATGTTGCTAAGTTTATAAAGACCTCAGCATTTTTAGTCTTCGTGGGGACGACACCTGTGGATGTTCCTGGATGTTCTGACACGGAGCAAGTTGCAGCCTGGAGCAGTGGTGAGTGTCAGCGACGGTCCGGTTCTGTGACAGCAGGACCGCACGGAGCATTCACTGTCCGGTTCTGTAACTTCTGTTCGGACCAGTCCGTACCAGGACTCGCTTGAAAATTTTTCAGGAGCAGTTTGAAGAGCTGATCACGGACATCCACGTCTTTTTTTTCCATCACTGCCTCGAGGTAAGTTTCTGTCATCCCACTGCCTGCTGCAGGGGTCCGGACCTGCTGCAGGGGTCCGGACCTGCTGCAGGGGTCCGGACATCCTGATGTGTAAAACCCCTCAGCAGCGGAGCCACTTGTTCTGGTCTATGTGCACTTAAAGGGACATACGGCGGAGCAAGTCGCTGAGCTTCATCACACATGTCGGGACAATATGTGTGTGCGAGGGTGTGTGTGTATTTTTGGCCCGATCTAAACTACGTGACACAACAACCACAGTTTAAAAACTCTTGAAGCACAAAGAGGATGTGTAAGTTAATTCAGTTTGTTTTATGACTGATAGACTCCATGTTTTCACTGTGGCTGAGGAGAAGCCAGCTTCTACCACAGCTACCATCAACAATGCTATGGCTAAGTCCTGAATCTCTGCAGGGCGTGGCTCTACAGAGAGCTTTTTATACTGAGCACAGTACTGTGACACGTCACACGGTACAGCACGTCACAAGGTACTTCAAATATAATAGTCAAAATTTAAACCCATAGGGGGCAGCACCAAGACGTTTTTTGAACAAATATTGAAGATTTAAACTATTTTAGACGAAAATGTTAAATTTAGGTCAAAAATAGCAAGGTATTACCCTTAAAACACATTTTAGACAGTTTGTTAAAAAAGTTGATTTTGGGGTAAGTTACACTTTAAACTGTATGCATTTTCTGTGGTGGCATACAATAAGTCCAGTGTTCTGTTGTTTCTAGTGGGACAACTCACATTCTGAGTAAAGGTGGGCAGGATGGAGTCCAGTGGAGTACAGTGGCTGTTTCCTAACTGGGCTTTTCTGAAAGCAGACAGGAAACACAGACAGGATTCCAGCCAACAACCAGCTGAAAATGAAGATCCTAAACCCAGACCCAAACCAGTCGTCATTCCATATGTGGCGGGAGTTTCAGAGAAACTGAGA